CCCCCCCCAATGCGCGTTTCAGGCGAAAGCCATCGATCGCAACAACTGGAACACCCTGGCGCAAGAGCTGGCGAGAGGCTCGGATGACGCAGCGGCCGCCGCTCACGACGGCAAGCAGACGGGCCGGCTAACGGTCGCGGCAACGGAGGAGAGGCTGAGACGGGGCCTTCAGCCGGCCTACCTCGCTGGCGAACAGCAGCAGCAACGACAGCAGCATCGAAAACAACAGCACCAGCAGGATCCCTTGGTGACGGGTCGCGAGGTCCATGATGGCGATGCGAAGGTCGGTTCCTCTGCACACGGTAAACAGGCAACAAGGGGCTGAATTTTTGCCTTGACGTTGTAGCATGGTGCGGTTCTCTGTTGGAGGTGTTGATAGGGGGCTTGTGCTCCAAAGTTTCTTTCTGCTGGGGTCTCTTTGTTGGCTGCCGAGGGTTTCAGCTTCCGATGAGTGAACGAACATCGTGTGGGAGCCACAACCAAGGCTTTTGTAGGAAAGCGTTGAACATCTTTTTTTTTGTTTGGTCACGATCCTCAAAATTTTCGATCGTTTAGTCAATGCAGATCAACATCGTATGGGCCTTGTTGACCCATGCGTCTCCCGGAGCCTTATCTAGCGCAAAGCGAAGTGGCCACAAGTTTTTCTGCAAGGATGAAGCTTTTGGAATCAGCCGTCACCCGTCGCGTAAATCTCAATCGGCCGGACAATGATCTCTCTTCGAGACAGGGGTTGCCTGGCGCCGCTCCCGCATGCACATGGACGTCTGCGGTTGTTTTCCTCATCGATCGTGCTGCACCTATCGTTCTGCTTGGCTTGGTGCTGTCAATACCATCCCCGGTAGATGTTTGCTCAAGGGCCGTACCCGTCCATGGTACTGTATAATGGATGCGACTTTGGAGCGATTACCCCGCCCTTTTTCCTGCCTTTTGCTTCTGACGCCCAACACAAGAGTCCCAGGCCATCAACGCCGTCACCATCGTTGCTGCACTCCTGTGTGTCACATGCGCGATGAGTAGCTTGGAGCAGACCATGTGTCGAGTGATGGGCTGGATCCAAACCGCTCGCCGTTCCCTTATTGCCCTGTCCTTGGCGTTGCGATCCTCCACCAGGCGATCAAGACCAGCCCTGATGCGATGATAACCCTGAGGGTTTCGACCGCCAGCCCCAGCAATGACCAGCTACCGCGGCCGCCGGTGCCATCGCCAAGCCACCAGCAAGAGCCCCAACGACTTCCGCTGCATCGACAGCAGTGTGGCTCTAACGATGGTCAGTCTCCCCTCCTGCAAACCTCAATAGAACTTCCTCAAGAGGGGTTCTATCAGATCGGAGGCGGTTCTGGTTGCAACCTGGGGCAGCACATCGCCAGTCGCAACCCCGCCAGCCCGATCGCGGCCTCCTCCAGGCCAGCCGAAACAGCAAGAGCAACCGCCATGCTCGGAGCGGGAGCGGCGGAGGCGACGCGGACGTCACCGTCACCTTTAGCGCCCGTACCGGAACAACAAGGTGTTGCGGATGCGATGGTGCTCGATCACGGCGGGCAAGTCACGTCTTGCTCTCACCCGTCCTCGCCCTCGTTTCCACTTAGCCGTAGCACCAGTGGTAGTAGCGGGTCCGGCCCGTTTCCCGGCCGCCGGAGATCGCAGATTCAGGTGCAGCAGCAGCAGCAGCAGCAACAGCAGCAGCAACAGCAGCAGCAGCAACAGCAGCAGCAGCAGCAGCAGCAGCAACAGCAGCAGCAGCAGCAGCAGCAGCAGCAGCAGACGCAGAAGACGCAGGAAGATTTTTCTGCAGCTTCGCTTGGCATGCTCTATTCTTCTTCTGCTTCTTCCCCATCGTGGGACTGTTCGTTTCCCGCACCACTCCCACCGATTTCCACAACAGGACGCCAGCGATCTCCATCTTTCGGTGGGTTAACCCCGCAGCTCCAACAGCAGCAGCAGCGGACGGTGGTGACGCCTGATCGCACGGCGGTTGCAACTCCCCCAGGCGTGGGTGTGGGTGTTGGAGTTTCGCGTGCTTCGCGGCAGCAGAGGTTATCCCCCGGGGCTTTCTCGCAACAGCAGCAGCAACAACAACTGTCTGGGGTGACGAGCGAAGACGTGCGGGAAGCAAGAAGCTGCAGCAGTGACGCCGTGGAGCGCTCGCCGAACGTGAGGCCTACAGAGAGCCCCAGTCGGGCGAATCACGCCGGTTCTTTTTGTTGAGGTTTTTGACTGCTCGCCAGTAACGTACTACAGAGGCGATCCTGTTTCCCAGATATATTCTGCTGGGATGGTATCGGCCTTATGGTGGCACCTGTTATTTTGCTTCTTCAAGTTTGATCAAGGGTCCGAATCCCAGGGCGCGTCACTACCACTATTTTTCTGACGAGGCAGGCCCCCTCCCACCCTTCCCCCCGTTTGCGCCACCTCTCCGATGCCTCCCTACCCATTCCCGCGTCGCCCCGCTACAGCAGTGTACTCGCCTTTCTCGTCAGGCGTCGCTGCCGGCTGGGCTCGGCGCCGTGGGGTCGGGTGCCATCCCACACTCCTTCCCCCTCGAGGTTGGTGCCAAGGATCAGTAGTCTAACAGTACGGCCCGTGGTAGGTTGACGCTGATGCGGCCTACCCGCATCTCTGCACCAAAGAACCGTGTTGGGGGATTCGAAGTTGATTGTCTTGCCTCGACGCGCTTACAACACCCACCCCCTTGCTCTCCAGGCTGCCGTCGACATCAGCGCAACTAAGAATAGCCTATTGCCGGCACACTCTACGCCTAACTTTGCCTCGCACTTTCTTATTCTGGTGGCGACAGCACTGGTAGCAGGTCCAAAGCTGGAGAACCTCATGCATTCTTGCCCATTGTGTGTGTTGTCCGGTTGCCTGGGACGAATCTTCCTTGGGGCATCCTCTCTACATTTTCTGTCTCCTCGGGTGCATAAGGGACAACGAACCAGTGCAAGAAAGCTTCGGGAAACGCTCACGCTGACTTTTGTTCCTGATGCAGTCGACGTCGTGTCTCACGAGTGTTCTATCAAATGATCAACCCTTGGGTTGACCCCTTATCCCCGAGCGTCACTCGCTCGGTTCACGTCCATGGCTATTTTTGAGATGGCCCTTGCTGCTTTGTGTTTTTTTTTTCCCTGAAAATGGCACACGGCGTTAACGACCAAGTCAACAAGACGACAGAAACACAAGATTGATTGCGCGGCTTGCACTTGCAACACATTGTTCAAGTAATGTTCATATGATCGACGCGTTCCTCGGCATTCCACCGCGTGCAACATCAGGCGGCTCCGTTCACGTCCATGGCTATTTTTGAGATGGCCCTTGCTGCTTTGTGTCCTTTTTTTCCCTGAAAATGGCAAACGGCGTTAACGACCAAGTCAACAAGACGACAGAAACACAAGATTGATTGCGCGGCCTGCACTTGCAACACATTGTTCAAGCAATTTTCATATGATCGACGCGTTCCTCGGCATTCCACCGCGTGCAACATCAGGCGGCTCTTTGCGACAGCACCGACCTTAGCAGCACCGGGGGCGACAGCAGTTCCGCCACTTTTGTCATGCCTGACGCTGCTGCCTCGGGCCAAGGGGGCTGGGGAGGGTCATGGGACATGGCGGCCGCAGCGGTGGTATCTACAGGTACGGGAGGAGGGGGCGGGGTGATGGGAGGCACCGCCAGTGGTTCCCGCGAGGCGCATACTCTGCGGCAGCAACAACAACGGAGGCAATTGCAACGGCAGCAGCAGCTGCAACGGCAGCAGCAGCTGCAACAGCACCACCAGCAACANGGTTCACGTCCATGACTATTTTTGAGATGGCCCTTGCTGCTTTGTGTTTTTTTTTTTCCTGAAAATGGCACACGGCGTTAACGACCAAGTCAACAAGACGACAGGAACACAAGATTGATTGCGCGGCCTGCACTTGCAACACATTGTTCAAGTAATTTTCATATGATCGACGCGTTCCTCGGCATTCCACCGCGTGCAACATCAGGCGGCTCTTTGCGACAGCACCGACCTTAGCAGCACCGGGGGCGACAGCAGTTCCGCCACTTTTGTCATGCCTGACGCTGCTGCCTCGGGCCAAGGGGGCTGGGGAGGGTCATGGGACATGGCGGCCGCAGCGGTGGTATCTACAGGTACGGGAGGAGGGGGCGGGGTGATGGGAGGCACCGCCAGTGGTTCCCGCGAGGCGCATACTCTGCGGCAGCAACAACAACGGAGGCAATTGCAACGGCAGCAGCAGCTGCAACGGCAGCAGCAGCTGCAACAGCACCACCAGCAACAACTGCACCAGCACCAGCACCGGCAGCACCAGCACCAGCAACAACAGCAGCAGCAGCAGCAGCAGCAGCAGCAGCAGCAGCAACAGCAACAGCAACAGCAGCAACAGCTACAGCAACAGCAGCACCAGCACCAGCACCAGCAACAACAGCAGCAGCAGCACCAGCACCAGCAACAGCAGCAGCAGCAGCAGCAGCAGCACCAGCAGCACCAGCACCAGCACCAGCAGCACCAGCAGCAGTTGCTGCAGCAACCGTGGGGTGATCTGTTCGGCAATTACAGCTTCATGGCCGACGACACGAATCTTGTGAGCACTTTTTCACAATCCTCGACCATCAGCATCCCGCGTTGGTCACATCGCACAAGCGTGCCATCCAAGCCATTCGCACTCCGCATTAACAAAGCCCTGCAGGCTTGTATCCAACCATCGTGCTTGGACAGAAAACGATCTTTCTTCCTCGGAATACGCCCGAAAATGTGGAGGTGTTTGCATGGTGGGATAACAACGTGCTCTTGAGCGCACACGATTGACCTCCCGAAACGTATCAACCGCAGAACGACCCAGATATTAAAATGTGCTCGCGGCCTTTATCAGCACGAAGTCTCGCGTTTCATTCCTCGATGACCCCCCACCCCCTCCCCCGATCCTACGCGAGCAGAGCCAACCCCTGCCACGAAGCCCCCGAACCGAGGCGGTTTCCACGGGACAAGAGTCCCCAAACGGGTGGGCAGGCCTCGGCAGCCAACGCCAGGTCTCGCAAATGCAGCCCTTGCTCATGTCTTCGGCTGGGATGTCGCAGGTAATCAATGCATCAACGGGCTGTATGGTGGCGTTGGCCCCGGATCCTTGTTCTCTCGTCGGGACTTGCACACCCGGAATTGGGCTTTGGAACAACGGCAACGAGGCACAGCCCACAGGGATTCAGACACCGCAATTTGGTTCACGTGGTGTTTCCAGCAAGCGGTGTTCCCAGCTGTAAATTGTTTTCGCGGATGTATATGGGACGGGTTGCTGTGGATGAGCACCGCTGTACGGAGCGGCCATGTGGTTCATGTGACCTTGACAGCGCAGTAGAAAACGTGGTACACGTGCTACTGGGATGAAATGCTCTCGAACATAGCTTCGTGTGTTTGTGGAGTACGCAACGGGTCTGGCAACTTCCAATCCTCTCCGTTTTGGTTCAGAACCTGCAACCATGTGCAGCGTGCCTGGTGGTTCCACAGCCTCCTTGCCGGCGTCTGTTGCGCGCGTCTATTCGTGGTTGTATACTTTTATTTTTTGCCTCTGGCTTGGGTTCCACAGTGGCGCTGCGATGTTGTATTTGATCGCTTGAAGAGCCACCTGATGTGCCGAGAGACTCGTACTCGTAGCAGGCGAAGTCCTAAGGTCTCCCGCCCTCGAGTGGAATCCTCTGTTTCAAGACGTAGGGCACCCGTGAACACGTTCTGTGCCCCAACATAACTGGCCCCCCTGGTTCCACTCCCACAGTTGCCCATGCACGTTGTTTGCCCTCTTCAACCCCCCCGAAAGCTGCAAGGCCGGACGCTAGTTGGGGGTGCTGCAAACATGGGCAGTCATTGCCGGAGCAGCATGAGCAGCACCACCGGCCTACCATCGTTGTCGCCATTGTCGTCGGCACCATCACAAGCCAGTGGTGGACCGTCGTCTCCGCGGCAGCGCCAAAGCCAACGCCTTGTGATAGACCAGGCCCCCGGTGCTTCTCCTAGACCTCAATCTTCACCGCTGGGGAGCGAGAGCCATGAGAGACAAGAACAGGGAATGGTCTATGATATCTGAACCGCCCTTGACTCGTCTGCCTCACGTGTGACATACTTGTGTGGATGGTGACAATCCTTACAAAACCGGCCGCCCCTTGTGTCTTGTGTCGAGCGGGATCGTCTCGTCGTCCATTTACTCCGTCTCTTCGTGCGTTGTGTTTTATTCTGTCTCCAAAGGGGAGACACATTTTGGCATGCTGTTGTTTGTCTGACACCAGCTGCCACCGAGACAGTGCGACCGACAGTCGAGCTGGGGTTGATTTGTTTCTATAGCTGAAACGGCGTGTCCTTACCCCCGGCTACGTCCTGTGCTTGTAAATTTTCGTGTTTCTCGTGGTTTGTTCCGGCGTGTCTTGTGCCACCTAAATCGCGGGTTGACATGGGTTTAGTGTATTTTTACTACGGTACTTGTTATCTTCTTGTGGCTTGAGGCGCGCGGCCCGAATGGGACGATTTTTGCGGTTTGCTGCTTTGCATTCCACCTACTCGGGGGCAGTGTAGCCATCCTTTTCGTAGTCGTCAACTTGAATAGTTTTGGTAGGAGCGGGTGCTGATGGCGAGGTTGCTCCACTACTCTCGCATCGCCTTGTACAGGACGACGGGTTGTAGAATTTTCGTGTGGAGCCTCTCGGGGACGCGAAGTTGGGTGTGAACGGTGCACCCAGGTTACGTGATCGTTCCAAAAACTTCTGGTAGTGGTGACGGGGGACAGCCTTAGCCTGCTACTCTCCTGTACACCTGTACATCGCGCGCTTCGATTAGCAAGACGTTCAACTATTATTTTTGGCGGCGTTCAGGGCTACGACGTAGAGCGATTGCTACCACGTGGATATGACGCCCTGGAGTAGTAGGCCACGACCAATACAAACGTCCGTGAGTTTTCTTGCGCCTCTGTAGAGATCTTCGTTTCACAGGTAGATATACCGAGTTGAGCTTCCCCGCGGGCTTGTTTTGTTGAAGGAACAAAGGGGGGGGGTGGTGAGCAAGGGTATTCTCATGATACTGGCTGCTTTGAAACTTGGCAGCGAGCCGTGGACGGGGCTTGGCAACTACATGTGCGGCTGCAAAGAATATGTGTAGCAAGGATTGCACCGTGTTGCGTATCGGCTCGATGCTTGATGCTTGATGATTGAGGTTTGTCACCCCATGCCCCTCCACCTGCGAGGTGGCGACATCCAGTCGTTCCACACTAAGGGAAAGCTATCGAAGCCAGCGTGTGTGTTTTCGGAAGAAATTCGACTGGTGGTGTCGATTTACGAACACCGTGAAACTCCATCTTCAGGAAAGAGTCGGTGGGGCGAATCGGATGTAGAGTAGGGCGAGCGAGGTGCGGGCATCATATAAGAGGCACGCACGTGGTCATGTATGGACATCATGGGAAAAAGTAGCGGTTATGCACAGTGTCTGTTTCAGCGTCGTGCTTAGTTTCTAGTAGATATCATGACAGGGTTCGTTGCCGGGGTTTGGTTGAAGTGGCCACTGAAATTAACAACACTGGACGGCAGTATTCGACTGCTTTTTTTTCCGTAGCCGACATCCTTGCCTTGTACAAGGGATGGCAGAGGTCGGTCTCTTGTCCCGCCTATTTTCAGCAAGGTGCTCGTTTGTTGCGTTTCTGGAGCATTTTTCTTCTTCATTTTTGCTAGAGGATTAGATGACTCGAGTTTGTTGTACGATAAAGAGCTGCCAGTAGAATTTTCGCCAGCTGACAAGGTTGGTTGGAACGTTTGGGTGATCGTTTCCGTTTGGTGCGCAGGAGAAGAAATGCGAGGGTATGGGAAATAGAGCGAACACCCTTAATGAAACTTCTGCAACTGGGGTGATTTTCCAGGAATTTCACATTGGTTTTTGCAATTCCGCACAATCGAGTTGGATTGAGCACCGAGTCCTTGATGTAAGCTGTCCAGCGAACTCAATGTGTGAACGATCAGGGCACGGAAATAATTGTGTGTTGCAATTTGCCCTGCACCATTCCCGCGCTACCACTTCTAATTGTACTACATCCTGTATTTCCAAGACGAGGACGGACATGCACCTGTTACGATGCACGCCCCATTTTCTCCGTACTTGCTGTTTGCCCTATCCTCCAAAATAGATAAGACTATTCTTATGGTAATAACCCTACATGTTACAGTCATCTGATTCGCGCCACGAGGAAGACAAGTTATTTCAGCGCGTTTTTTTTTTCGCTTCGTACGGGTAGGCGTGTAGGTGGTGATGATCGAACATGTGCATATGTTGTGGTTGTATCCTACTTCAAGCGCCCTTTAATTACGTGAGTTACTTCGACGGCATAGGCTATGCAAACGCGTCGGAGGAATTTGTTTTTTCGTCGCCCCTAGCCGTGCAGTGTATTCGACAAGGAGGGTGAAAAAGCGAACCCCAAAAGCACTCAGCACTCAATGACATGAAGATATGAAGCTCACTCAACGGTGATAGGTATAATCTTCCCCGTCCTCCGCAGGTGTGGCGTTGACCGAGGCGCGAACGAAAAGAACGCTGGTACCAAAATTGGTGATATCTCGTGGAGCGGCGAGACAAGTTTGGGCGAGAGAGATCTGTGGGGGGTGCGCATATGGTACGTACCACCACAATTTGGAGGATGGAGCACAGGCGTCAGGTGACGTCTATCTGTATGCTTACGTCTATCTGTACTCCTTCGTCGTCCTGGACTGTTTTTGGGAATAATAAACCCATACAGCAGTAGCGATTGACCTAGCTTCTTCCAAATAGCACCAGCAGCGATCAGGACCATTTGGGATCTAGACCAAAGAAGGGAGAGCGTGGTCGAGACGAAAGATATATTCTTCCGTGCAACGGCCACCAGAGGGAGACGTTCAACGTCAACGGTCACTTTTTTTCTGGAAGTTCCACAGGAGTACGCACACAGATTGTTGTTGGCATGAGCGGCGCTTGTTCAGGGGAGAGGCGTACCGACTGACCGATAGCTTGAAGATTCAACTTGTTACTGTACGAACGGAACAGACTACAGTATATGCCTATGACAATCACTGCCCGACGGACTGCATGATAAGCATTTTACCGATATGAGTCTTGAGTAGTCGATGCAGTCTTACATGGTTCTGGCAACACATTGAGTGAGTGTGCGGTGACGCAAAATTCGAGAGGAAACTCTACAAGACTACTACTACCGAACATTCAACAGTCCGCAGCGCCTACAACTGCAGGTTGATCGGAGTAATTGGGTGGCTCATTTGCCACAAGTTGATGTCACAACACACACACTTCAATTTATTGAGATTCGCTTCGCCATTGCTCCTCGTCGTTGTGCCACAAACCACGGGGAACCGCCGAGCAGGACCCTCCTTGTTGTCAGGGGTGAGTATGGAACACGTTGTACCTCGTGCATGTCAACTGCGTGTCAGGAAGCATGTGTTCTGTAGTCTAGTCCTACAAACACAAAATCATCATTGCACCGATGAACTCTTTCGACGGCTGAAGCCTCGTCTCCACCGCCGCCATAGCTTACTTCTTATTGTTGGCCAATTATTGTTGATGTACACACCGAACATTTCGTTTGCCAAAAAGCATGGCCGCACCGTCTCGATGTTCTAGACGTCAAGCGTTACGAGACGCAGCGGGCTGTGACCCGACGAGAAGCAGGGGGTTTGACATACTGGTACGCGATCAACGACGTTGTTGGAGGCACCTTACTCCACCATGCTGTCATTTGTTATGTCCGATCACGTCCTGGCGCTCTGCCCTTGCGCCATAGTCAACGGCGCCTCTCTGCTAGCAGTGCGGAGAGTCTCTGCCGTCCGGATCTTGACTAGTGTGTAGTCTATGCACACACATTAAGTACGGCCAAAATTGCATCTTCAACTACAAAGTGGCTTGATATCAGTGAGGGCATTCACTTCTTCATACTCCTCGCTTTCTGTTTCTGCCCAATCCCCCACGCGTTTCCACCGAACGATGTTGTTGTTGTTATGGTCGATGCTGCGGAAACAACAGCAAACGTCGGGTCCTTAGCATCGGCAAGCGGTTCGGAAATGCGAGGCTTCTCATCACTTGCCTTGGCGGCGACCCTCGCCTATCTTGCTCGGACGACAACTAGAGTGTAAGTTCCGACCGGGGGGATCGAAGAGCTTTCTTGCTGAGGTGCACGACGGCTGATTCTTAGCAGTACTGTAGTCACGTGCTTACCGAGATGTTGTCTCCTGACTCCGAACCAAAGTGCACGCGTCGTACTGTAGTACCAGAGTGTTATGGGTTCCACAACAGTGTGATTGTAAAACCGCGTTGTAAACAAAATGTGTCTGCAATTGTACGGTTTGCTTCAGTCGCTACGTGTCAGGATGTGATCAAGACAACGGATCCCTGACGTTGGTATGCGTAGTCTATCGAATGAAATAATACGTTTTGTTTGTTTGTGGACTTCTTTCGATCTGGATTGAACGAGGGCAGTGGTGCAGCATGTTTGGTGATCCATGTGATTGTAGACAAGATCTCGAAAAAAGGACACACAGCTTTAGTGGGCCATGAGGTTTTCCTTGGCAATGCCTCTCACAGACGACAGCAGTAAGTACGTACGTACGTACGTTGATCGATCATCACCCGTCCATACGGCCCTTGAAAGTTTCCGCAAAATCGAAATCTTGACTGAAGAGTAGCCAAGCGGGGGTAGATTTGAGAGGCGTTAGCATATATATGTGGAACCAACCTTGCGGAGGCATGCGCTGCTCGAGTTTAGCAGCTGAAGCGGATAACCATGTGGGCAAGGATATTCATTCATTCATGGCCATGAGCTTCCAAGGAGGGAAAAAGGCGACAATTGCATGCATGCACAACATGCAGGCCAATCTTACGAGACAAAAGTGAACATCGCTACAGAAAAAGAGTATCGGTTTTGCTGTGTGCCGTTCCGAATGAATTGTAGTCTGTGATGAGATGAATGCCGTTTTTTTTGTGGGCCAAAGGGCACAAGAACAAAGAAGGCACAACAGCAGACAGTCTTTACACCTGTCAAAACGATCACAATTCATTTCATACAGGGCGAAAAAAGCCTCAAGAAAAGCCAAAGCTTTTGGGTGGAAGAAAGCTCAAAGTGTCTATAATGAAGATGTGCGCATCAAAAGGACTTACGCTATCAATTACTTCGAAGTATAAATTATTTCACCATCGACTATATGTTGTTGTTGTTGTTGTCTTCACATTAAACCGTGTGTCAATTGCTAAATGCCAAAATCTAGCAAAGACTCTCAGCCCGTGGTCACGAAAGTGCTAGAGCCATCTGAGGATCTAAAGAACACGCACAAATATTACGAGAAAAAGGTGTCCAAGAGCCCGAAGAGGTACACCTAAAAATCCCTGCAGCACCGTATGCGTGCCCAAAAACTGAACTGCACGTACGTCCGTCCCACCGTTCGACTACAGTAGCATCACCCCCTCCCTGTCCCACTC